AGAAAGAGAGAGAATTTGAAAAATCAGGAAATAAGAATCACAAATGTCATCACTATAACTTAACGTCATTTAACAAACTTCCAACTTAAATAAGTACGTGTATTTCAGGGGATTCAGCCAAAAGTAAACCATGGGCTTTTCATTTAAGACAGAGCTCACCTAGCTTTCATTAATTCTTTCATTAATTTGCACGCTCAAGTTATCAATCTCACCCGGAATAACTAAAATAATAGATACTGGGATTAGGCCTTCTGAAGACATAAGAATATACCTGTTCATGTCATCTCCAATATAAACGCAAGTCCAGAGAGAGAGAGAGAGAGAGAGAGAGAGAGAGAGAGAGAGAGAGAGAGACGTCATTTTGCATGGAGCAAGCCCAGCTGCCCTGACAGGTGATGAATGTAAAATAGTCTTTTATAGAATTTAAAGCTGCTTTAAATGCATTTTGTGCACATCATTTTAGCGACAGTCCCACCCGATAAGACTGTTGATGATCCAGGGATAACGCAGGAAGACTTCCAACAGCTGAAGGCAGACTTGAAGTTGTGGACACGGCACATTGCAAAAGGTAATGGGGTTTAGTCCTCGGATTACATGAGCTGCGGGTTTTTAAAACTGATATCATGTTTTTGTAGACAGATTATTAAATTCTTATCATGTGATCTTTGTTAGATTATCTTTATCTGAAGGTTAGCAGGAAAATCCGGACAATTTAATAATCACGCGCATTGATGATGGCTCTTGACGGATGTCAGCAATACTTTATATAATCCTAAAGAGTTCAATATTAAACTCATAAAAAGTCATCTCAGTTTCTGTCTTTTTTCAAGACTTTGCCTCAAGCCTCCAATCACAGATAAGCCCTTGNTTTTAAAAATCAGGAAATAAGAATCACAAATGTCATCACTATAACTTAACGTAATTTAACAAACTTCCAACTTAAATAAGTACGTGTATTTCAGGGGATTCAGCCAAAAGTAAACCATGGGCTATTCATTTAAGACAGTGCTCACCTAGCTTTCATTAATTCTTTCATTAATTTGCACGCTCAAGTTATCAATCTCACCCGGAATAACTAAAATAATAGATACTGGGATTAGGCCTTCTGAAGACATAAGAATATACCTGTTCATGTCATCTCCAATATAAACGCAAGCAAATATGTTATTTGTAGCCCTAATTATTTCAAGTCCAGAGAGAGAGAGAGAGAGAGAGAGAGAGAGAGAGAGAGAGAGACGTCATTTTGCATGGAGCAAGCCCAGCTGCCCTGACAGGTGATGAATGTAAAATAGTCTTTTATAGAATTTAAAGCTGCTTTAAATGCATTTTGTGCACATCATTTTAGCGACAGTCCCACCCGATAAGACTGTTGATGATCCAGGGATAACGCAGGAAGACTTCCAACAGCTGAAGGCAGACTTGAAGTTGTGGACACGGCACATTGCAAAAGGTAATGGGGTTTAGTCCTCGGATTACATGAGCTGCGGGTTTTTAAAACTGATATCATGTTTTTGTAGACAGGTTATTAAATTCTTATCATGTGATCTTTGTTAGATTACCTTTATCTGAAGGTTAGCAGGATAATCCGGAAAATTTAATAATCACGCGCATTGATGATGGCTCTTGACTGCTGTCAGCAATACTTCATATAATCCTAAAGAGTTCAATATTAAACTCATAAAAAGTCATCTCAGTTTCTGTCTTTTTTTAAGACTTTGCCTCAAGCCTCCAATCACAGATAAGCCCTTGTCTTATGGAGATAGTGGCGTCGCCTACGGAGCAAAAACAGGTTGAAGAAGAGACAATGAATATGGCAAAATTAAGCAGGATAGCGGCGTGCCTTACCTGCAGCTGCGGGACCTGTTCGTAGATAACAAAGAGGCACAGTACATCTCAACCGCCCGACAGAGGGCAAAAGATCCTGCATTTGTTCAGGAAAATTGTCGTGAATGAATTTGATCTTCACTGTACTTTTTCAGTTTTAAATGAGTAATCCGTTATATATCAACTAGAATATTAAAGATTGTACCTTATAGGCTCATACATGTAGCTCATAGTGTCAGAATACGATTACATAGCAGCAATATCGATCACACTGCAAGTCTATCTTTTACCTTAAATTAACTTTCTCATATGCCTTGCAGGCTTTGCTGTCGTTCGGTATGTGTGAGAGGGGACGTCAAAAAGTTTTGAGCCTCATACGGACAGACTAAGATATTTTTCAATACAGACCCTTCTGGCTCCACACACTTGTTTAATCTTCCCCTGTACACGTAGTTTGCCAGTTCTTGACTACCCTCTACAGCTCATTGTCATCATTCTCACATTCTGGTCCCTTTTTTTCATTTTTTTATTTTTATTTATTTATTTATTTTTTATTTTCATGAGCCTGGGAAAGAGGTGGAAGTTGCCTGGGACACTAGGTTTGGATAGTAGAGTGAGTGAGGGGGGAGTTTATAGTCACGCTTGCGCCTAACTTCCATCGCCACTCAGCTTGTGTGGTTGTGCAATTTGTCTTAACGAAACAGATTTATGCTCTACGTTAAATCAGAAGCAAAGACTTAAGTGTATGTGATACATTGTACTGGAAAAATGTGTGAGGCTCAGAGGTTTTTGACCCCCCCCCCCTTGCACCAGGGCCTCTCCAACCTAAAAGACTTTTTTCTAGTATCTCAAACTAAAGCAATTCTTTGATCTTTTTCTGTT